CTTTTTTCACTTTTCTTCTCTTTTTTTCTTGGTTCTTTTCTTTTTCTTTTTTTTTTGATTTTTTATAATTGTCTCTCTTTTCTTTTTTTTTCTTTTCCTTCTTTTTTTCCATCTTTTTTTTTTTCTTTTTGGTTTCTTTTTCTTTCTTTTTTTTTTTTATTTTTTTTCTTTTCTTTTTTTCTTCTTTTTTTCTTCTTTTTTCTTTTATCAACTTCTCTTCTTCTTTTATTTTCTTTTTTTTTTCTCTTTTTATTTTCTTTTCTATCTTTTTATTTCAACTTTTTTTCTTTTATTTTTTCTTTTCTTTTCTTTCCATCCTCTTCTTTTCTTTTCTTGCTTTTTCTCTTTCTTTTTTGTTCTTTTTTTTATGGTTTCTTCTCTTTTTTCCTTCTTGCTTTTCTTTCTTTTTTATTAACTGTTTCTTCACTTTTTGCTTTTTTTTTGGCTCTTGTTTTGGATTTCTTTTCTTTTTTTCTTTTTTTTTATCAACTGTCTTCTCTTCACTTTTTTGCTTCTTTTCTTTTTTTGTTTCTTTTATTTCTTCTTTTTATCAACTTTTTCTCACTTTTTTATGGTCTTCTTTTGTTTCTTTCTTTCTTCTTTTTTTATTTTTTTTTCTTTTTGCTTATGGTTTTCTTTTCTTTTTTTTTTTTTTTATTTTTCTTTTTTTCAACTTTTCCTTCTCTTTTGCTTTTCCTTTTCTTTTGGATTCTTTTTGCTTTTTCTCTTTTTGTCAACTTTTCTTCTCTTTTATTTTTGCTTCTTTTCTTTTTTTCCTTTTCTTTTTCTTCTTTTTTATCTTTTCTTCTTTTTTCTTTTTTTTTCTCTTTTCATTTTGTTTCTTTTATTGTTTTTTCTTCTCCTTTTCTTTTATCTTTCCATTTTTTTTCTTGTTTTTTTTATTTTGGTTTCTTCTCTTTGTTTTCTTTTCTTTCTTTTTCTTTCTTTTTATCAACTATCTTTCACTTTTTTTTTTGGTCATTCTTTTTTTGATTCTTGCTTTCTTCTATTTTATCAACTTTTTCTTTTTTTTCTTTTGGTACTTTCTTTTTTTTCTTGCTTTCTTTCACTTTTTATTCTCTTTTTTTCTTTTTCTTTTTATTTGTTTGTTATTTTTTTTTTGGATCTTTTCTTTCTTCTCTTTTTTCTTGTCTTCTTTTTTTTTTTTTTTTTTACTCTCTTTTTTTTTCTTTTTATTTTCATTTTTTTTCAACTTTCTTTCATCTTTTTTCTTTATGGTATTCTTTCTTTTTTTTTTTTTTTTTTTCTTTTTTTTTTTTCTTTTCCCTTTTTATTTATTTTGTATTTTTCTTTTCTTTCTTTTTTTTTTTTTTTTTTTTCTCTTTTTTCTTTTTCTTTTTTTTGTCTTTTTTCTTTTTGCTCATTTTCTTTTCTTTTTGATTTTTCTTTTTTCTTCTCTTTTCTTTATTAACTTTTTTTTTTTTTTTTTTTCTTTTTTTTTTTTATCTTTTTCTTTCTTGTCTTTTTTCTTTTTCTTTTTTCAACTTTTTTTTTTTCTTTTTTTTTTATCTTTTCTTTCTTTTTTTCTTTTTTTTTTTCTTTTATTTTGTTCTCTCTTCACTTTTCTTTATTTTATTTCTTTTTTTCTTTTCTTTCTTTCTTTCTTTTTTTTATTTGATTTTGTCACTTTTTGCTCATGGTATTCTCTTTTTTTCTTCTTGCTTTTCTTTTTATCAACTTCTCTTCACTTTTTGCTTATGGTTTTCTCTTTTTTTTTCTTTTTTTTATTTGAAAATTCAACTTCTCTTCTATTTTGCTTATGGTTTCTTTCTTTTGATTGTTTTTCTTTTTTCTTTTTTCTCTTTTTTCTTTTTTGTTTCTCTTTTTGGATTCTTTGTTTTCTTTTATTTTAACTGTCTTGTCACTTTTCTTCTCTTTTTTTCTTCTTTCTTTCTTTTATCATTTGTTTCTTCACTTTTTCTCTTTTGGTTCTCTTTCTTTTCTTTCTTTCTTTTCTTTCTTTTTATCAACTGTCTCTTCACTTTTTTCTTTTGTTTCTTTTTTTTTTCTTTTGTCATTTTCTTCTTTTTATCAACTGTCTCTTCAATTTTTTTTGCTTATGGTAATTTCTTTTTTGTTTCTTTCTTTTTTCTCTTTTATCAACTGTCTCTTTCTTTTTGCTTATGGTTTCTCTTTTGATTTTGTTCGTTCTTCTTTTTATCTGTTTTTTCATTTTTTTCTTATTTATCTTCTTTTGATTCTTGTTTTCTTTCTTTTATCTTCTTCTCTTTCTTATTTTTTTTCTTTTCTTTCTTTTTATTTGGATTTTTGTCACTTTTCTTCTCTTTTATCAACTGTCTTTTCACTTTTGCTTATCTATCTTTTTTGATTTTTTGCTTTCTTCTTTTTATCAACTGTCTCTTCATCCATTTGCTTATGGTACTCTCTTTGGATTTTTTCTTTCTCTTTTTATCAACTGTCTCTTTGTATTTTCTTATCAACTGTCTTTCCACATTTTGCTTATCTGTCCTTTTGTATTCTTGCATCCTTCGGTTTTAATCATATTTCTTTTTGCCTCAAGTTTCCTCTTCATCTTTTAGAATTTTTACAGATATTTTATTTACAAATTCTTCCACAAAGGTTGGATCAACCGTCATTCAGTTTTCAATTTATCAACGTCTCCTCACTTTTTGCTTATTTACTCAAAAGGAGTCTCGGTTTATTTAAAACTGTCTCTTGATTAAATTTGAATCACATTGATTTCATAACCCTTATCGACGAGAGCCACTTTTTTGCTTATGTAATATTTCTATTGATTCTTGTCCTCACTGAATCAACTGTCTCTCTTCACTCTTTTTGTTTATGGTAATTTCATTTGACCCTTCTTGCTTTCTTCTCTTTATCAACTAACTCTTCATGCTTTTTGCTCTTGTATACTTTAAGCTGCTTTTTTCTTCTCCTTTTACGTGATGCAATGGTCTTTTTGCTCATGGTAATTTCTTTTTGATTCTTGAGTTCGATTCTCACAACTGTCTTCATACTTTTTTGCTTATGTCCTATCTTGATTGCGCTTTGAAAATCAAAATCCTTTTTTGACGTGATAAATGAATTTGGATTCTTGCTCAATTACAACTAACTGCCCTATAAGTTCGATTCTCACTCTCTTTACATTCATATTTCTCCTTGTGTCATATCTAACTCTTTTCCTCATGGTACCCTTTGGATCTAATCGATGAAACTTCGACGTAATCAACTATCTTTCACTTTTGCGTATGCTACTCTCTTGGATTCATTACCACTTTATCAACCGTTTTCTCACTTGTACTTGCTCTGGTAGTGTTCTTTTGGATTTCCACCATCCTTTTATCAACTGGGTTCCTTTTTGCCTGAGAGAGGAACTTTTGAATTCGGGGGATATAGCAATTTACAACTACTACATTTTGTTTTGCTTTTGGTCTTCAGTCTCATTTGAATAAAGCCTTCTAAGACATCAACTGTCTTACTTCACATTTTGCTTATGGCAAAAAACTTTTTGATTCTGCTTTCTCGATTAAACTGTATATTCAAAGCTTGTATTCTCTTTTGATATGCATTTACATTTTTAAGATCAATGTTGAATAAGAAACTAAACCGGAATTCCCAAGCGAGAAGTGGGAGGAAAGTAACTGTTAGCATAGAACTTACAGTTTACATCTAACCTATTTACTACTACTTTACCGCCAATCTAATATTGATAAATGTATAAATTTCGGTACCATGGGAAAATTCATCAGAACCATGAAAATATTTATAGAAAATCGGTAAAAGATGGACAAATGTGCCTAATAAAACATTTTTCTTTACAATAAAGCTTGCCGAGAGTGAAGGTAGTTAAAAAGGCAGTGTGACGGAAAAACCCGTCCTTTGATACGCGCCGTCTTATTGCAGGCGTTTGTCCATGTTCTCAAAAATAACGCACCTACTGAAAAAAGTGGTCTAGTCACCCTTCACTGCTGAAGTCAAGTGGTCTGATCGTAAATCAAAAAAAAAAGAAAAAGATTTTTAATAAAAATATCCCTTTGTTATTTATTTTAAAGGTATTTTTTCCTAAATATATAAAACAATTCGTTTAAAACTGAGAAAATCTGTGAATTGTAAAAAAGAATAAAAATATTGGTATGCAGTTTATAAATAAAGGGCAGAGGATCAAAGTCAAGGATCAATTTAACACTGCATTTATCTTATGAAAAAAAGATAATTCAAAAGGTTTTTAAAAATTTCTATATTTTCCTTTGAAATATTGAGGCAGCTTCGAACCATTTCAAATGACATAAAAGCTTAGAGAACTATGCCTATTTTTAAAATATATATTTTTCTATTTTTATCTCCTTTTGATATGCAGAAGAACGAGGCTTAACCTCAACATCTCCCATAAATAGAAGATAATTCGTATGAACGATTTTTTTCACTTGATATAAATGGATATTACCAAATCGAATATATATTTGATATACGCGATAATACTGGCATTTTCTTGATATTATCCCCAGCATTTAATGCAGTATTCTCTTTTGATATGATCTGGCATTTAATGCAAGTATCTTCTTTGATATGATCTGGCATTTAATGAAGTATTCTCTTTGAAATCTGGCATTTAATGATATTCTCTTTGATATGATATTTTTAATGCAGTATCTCTTTTTGATGTCATCTGATTGTCTGGCTCTTAATCATCAGCATTGTTTGATGTTCTCTTTTGATATAATCTGTCATTTAATGCAGTATTCTCTTTTAGTATGATCTGGCATTTTAATGCAGTATTCTCTTTTGATATCATCAGCATTTTAATGCAGTATTCTCTTTAATATGATTTTTAATGCATATTCTCTTGATATAATCTGGCATTTAATGCGATATTCTCTTTTTGATATGATCTGGCATTTTAATGCAGTATTCTCTTTTGATATGATCTGGCATTTAATGCAGTATTCTCTTTTGATACAGACGGCGTTTAATGGAGGCTCGCTTTGAACTATTTCAAGTAACGAGCCACTTTTTAC